TTATTGTTTAGCTTAACCTGTTAACAGCTAAGAGAAGTTGATTTAAGTTGCTTTTTTACATTTTCTATACTATTAAAAAAAATTATTGCATTTTACTACATGAAATTTGGTACAGCCTAGAGCACCCGACGTTATTCAGTAAATAACCGCCCACCCAACACTTCTAGAAGTAAATTTCTTATTAATTTTTCCCATAGAGTTAGGTAACTGAATCTTGTTTTGGGGGGAAAAAAAATGCAGCGGTCATCACCTAATATTTACAAAAGCAACACTAGGATGGACTGAGTTCTGGCAGTCTGCCCTAGTTACAGTTTGAGGTATGAAAAAAGCTGTTCTAAAGCTGTGATCACACACTAAAATGAATGCATGTGGATATAAAGTTTTTTTTATATCCTAACTGTATATGGTGTTTTAATAGCATTATCTTCTGTTCTTTGTAGCGTTCTGGTCAAAAACATCCAAATCTACGTTTGTGCTGCCTTCAGTGGCCTCTGCAATTTCAAGTACTTGGTGACATCACACAAGACTGCTCTATTACAGCTAGACAGTTAGACCAGTGCTTCCCAATTATTTTCCTGTCACACCCTCCCAGGAAGAAGAAAACATTTCGCGCCCCTCCACGCTCCGACAGGAGTATAAACAGTATAATTTGCATTCACGAAACGGAATGATTGTTGGCAATATTCGGCATGTTTTTGCTGAAAAAACTCAAGTGGCTTATCAGTGTGATTGGGGTGTAACGTTTTTAAGTGTTGCTGTAATTTATTTAACTTCATACTGTCCACTGCCAACATTTTTAGACACAGTAAACACCGCAGTTTTTCATCGTTTCCCACCATAGTCACAGTGAAGTCGAGCGCTACGTACACGTCGTCATACTTCCTTGTCTTAGATTTCGGGTGACTTTTATTATCTCCGTTCCTATTAAATATTTTGTTCTATTGTGTCTCTTGAGCGTTTGTGCAAAAAACCCAACACTATACTGTCAACTACTGTAGTGGATGTGCAATTACACTTTATTCTAGTACGGCAAAGTTAGACCAATCACAGCGTTAATTATACGACTAGACTCCGCCCCTCATTCCCCCGCACTGTCTTCTTTAGTCCTCCACGTACTGCCTAGTTTAGTGGCTCAATTTAAAATATAATTGTGGGCAGAGTTTAGGCGTTTTTGAGAGCTACGGATGAGTTAGATTTAAATACTTGCCTTCCGTAACTCTCACTTTCCAAATGAAACAAAGTCAGCAGACAGTGACGAGACAAGTGCATCCATTTCCATTATCTATTTTCTTTGGCAGGATATTCAGAAGGTTGAACTATGACCCACGTATCTAGCCTTGTACCGCTCTTCCCTAGAAACTGTATAATGTTATTTTAGGTCTTGTGTCTTTTAACAGCTACAGTGAGTAAGGAGGGAAATTCTTGTATGTATTGGAGGTGTGCGGTGGTGTAAAACATTTTCTCACTGGTTGTAAAGTGAGTCAGAGGAAGTGTTGTAAGACTGCATATCTCATTAAAGATGAGGTATTACGGCTTTTTTGAGCTTTCAACCATGTTATAATTTTTTTTTTCCCTGGTGAAAAACATGCCTGAAGAGTTTTTAGATATCATCCATGCACGTTTCAGTAATTTAGTGATCTCTCCCGGGCCCTATTCGGTGCGGTTCACAATAAGATTCCGTTGTGACTCCTTGACATTTCTCCATAAATATACAAAAGCAAAGCATGATACAAAACCGTACACAACAACTTGCGGTAGTTTCACTAGTGGGACGTAATCTGTGGTGTGATTGTGCTCTGAAGGAGGGGTGATATAGTGCAGAGAGCAAAAGGATGGGAGACTCAGAACATCGAAAATTGAAGTGAAACACAACGTAAAGCATGTCAATACGCTGTTTTCGGCGAATATAGCATTTTCAAAACAATAAAAGCTAAAATGGTGATCTAAATATGTTATATGATAGCAGATTCAATTTCATTTCTCTCCAGCGCCTAGGTCAGGAATCGGAATAAACGCGACAATTTGCAAAAACCCCGAAAGTGCAAGTCCGGGCTCCAGCCAATCAGCAAACAGCCATACATTCTGTGTTGGCAACGATTCCCGAGATCGAGGATTTAAAGCCGGAACTAAGAGAATGTTTGGTGAATTTTATCAAGGGGAAAGACGTCATTGTCCTTCTTCCTACAGGATTTGGGAAAAGCTTAATATGCCAGTTAGCCCAGTTAGCTGTGCAGCACATAGGTCACGACCAAATAGCAGCGATTGGTTAAATAAAATAAAGTACCCGCCTACAGTCAAGCGAACGAATCTTAATGCTGCGAGGTCAGACGGTTTCCACAAAGTGAATCAGGTTAAGTTAAGACCCCATAGAGGTAAAATCCCCGCTCTCTGTAAAGTGAGTCAGAGGAAGTGTTACTCTGTTTAAAGACTCCAACGCCCATTAAACACACGAGCACCTGATTATGAGTTGGGCCAGTACATCTGTGAGCCCACCAAGGTGAACTCAAGGGAAAAGCTACATTTGACCACTAAATGAACTGCATATGACAGTGTAATTTGTCATAAGATTGAGAGACTGTGAATAAGTCATGTCTAATCGTCATTCGTCAGTGATATGGTTGGGGTTTTGAAAGAAGTTTCCAGCTAATCAGTAAAAGTATGTGGTGTTGAGAAATTGTGGTCTGTCTGGGTCGCTCCAAAAGTTTTTTGCTTCTGTCACCAGTGCATACAGTCCTCAGTGTGTAAATAGCTTCAGGTGAAAGAGCGCCATGTATAGCACCAGTGAGAGGGTGAGAACATATTCACAGGGCCCGTCTTCAATGGGCTCTGTCCGCTTAAAGCACATTGTCATGGAAAAAAGTTTGTGGATCAGCTGACGTGTATGCGAACACACTGGAAAAAACAATAGCTAGGCAAGTTAAAATGACTTAAATTAAGAACATTTTTTACTTTATTTGAGTAGATTCAACTTGACAAGTCAAATGATCTACCAATGGAACAAGTGTGTTTTTCTTAATTCAAGCAACATTTAATTTTGTTTCTTATTTTAAGTGCAAAAAGTTGGTGTTTTTCTTATTTCAAGTGTAGCAAGATGTATTTTCATATTTTAAGTACAAAAAGTCTTGTTCCACTGGCAAATAATTTTACTTGTCGAGTGAAATTTACTCAAATCATTACAAAACTTTCTTAATTCAAGTCATCTTAAGTTGATTAGATTTTTTTTTTTTGCAGTGCAAGACCCTCCCAAAAGTGAAATAAACAGAACTAAATCTACTCCATACTGGGACGGTCCATAGAACGCACTAACATGTGTGAAAACAACTTGAGTTACTTGTTTTGGATGCTCTGAGTCCCCCCTTTAGAGCGCTATCACACCAGTGTCAAGTTGCTGAGCACAGTTTTGTATGCTTTTGTATATTTATGGAGAATTGTCATGTGGGACGTGCCATTATAGGCTTTGTTTTAGCTCATACTAACAACTGTCCATTTCCAAATAAGAGCTGCATATAAATGTCACTCACGCCATGACTAAAACAAGGATTCTCTGCATAAATTACTAAACAGTGCCAAAGGCTTGCTATCATGTATAAAAATCTCTTTAAATGCATAATATAGTTCCTTAGTTAGACCAAGTTACATCATCTCTGATATAAATAGTGATAAGTCACATGTGGTAGAACACAAATGACTAAAGATTCTGGTAATCTACTATTTGTTTCATACTAAAGAACAAATCAAGCCATATTCCGATAACGACACAACTATTTACATGACCTGCTGCTTTTGTGGGAAAGTTGTCTGCGTCAAGTCCACAGTAACTATTAAACAATTAGCCTGATTCACTAGGGGTAGAAAAATGCACAGTGAGTCTGTGCATATGTAAAACAGCTGTGGAGGGAGAAGTGGTCTCTATAAAACTCAGAGGACAAATTAGAAATGCAGGGTGTTTTGAAGCTTCCTACCACCTGCTGTTTATGGCGTCATTTAAAAAACAAAGATGTAGTGTGTACAGTACAGTAAAAAGAGATGGAAGCAGGGCTGGGCAAAGAAAAGTGCCATGGACATTTTTACACATATTGATTACAATTTTCAATTAGATTTTCATTTTATCTTATTAAAGCTAGAGTATGTAACTTTTTAGTCAAATAGCAGACTAAAATAAAAGCACTGAAAAATATACTGCACTGAGAAGCTTACAAAACATCTCTTCTGTGCAGGTTTGCAATTCCACAAACCTTATCTGACCAGGATGAGGGCATCCTCTTACTTAGACAGACTTTTTTGTCATTCAGATACATGTATACATACAAGTATATGCACAGAATTAAAGCAGCAGCATAATATTATATGAAGTGTGTTGTTTTTAGACTTAAAAAATTTGTTAAAAGTGCTGACAAAGCTTCATAAATTGCCTATATATTTACGAGGAATTCCGCAGTCTGACAGCCAGAGCATGAAAACTTTTGCAGAACCTAGATGTTCTGCATTAAATGTTGCAAAACTTTTCATTCTGCTTATTTCCATGGAAATGTTCCTTTGACTATAACCTTCCACAGTATGTCATAAAACATACAGGTGATGTGCTGCCTCCAGAAAGTGACACACTTAAAACACCTTTAAAACAACTTAAAAATATTTCAGTTTTAATTTCCTAAAAATATAAGTCATGTCAGTGTGATTTAACAAGAAATTAGTCAAATGCGTCTTCCAAAGCCTGACCACTGCTCCAACCCACATGCTTTTACTGGTGGAGGACTGGGTGTAGACCATTAAAAGGACCTGAGCCGTTTATTGTAAATTAGAACTGACTGAATTTCAATCTCTATAAAAATCTAATAATTGTGCTGCTGATAAGGAATGTAAAAAAAAGGGCTGCAGACTTTGTTGATATGAAATGTAAATAAGAGTATAAAGGGTTGCAAATAGCAAATTAAAGATCTGTAATGATTTAGGTATGAATTGAAATGATACATGAAATAGTTTTGATAGAGCGGCCTCACCAAACAGGCCGATGTAGACCTCCTGCAGAGAGTGAACGCTGCAGAACTGGTTGAGCTCGTGGTGAACTTTGTTGAAGATCAGAGCTTTGTCATAGTCGGCCGTGAAGTTTCTCACTATGTCATAGACTGAAGAGAAAAGAAAGGAAAATATTATTAGAGATACAGTAAACTAGAAACATTTTTTTCATTCTATCGTTTTGTTCTTGAAACGTACGGCTGTGTCACTGTCGAAAATATTTAACACTGAACTAAAATCTGTAAATTTTTAGCCAAAAAATAGACTAAATTTAAAGCATTTTTATTTTATTTTATTTTGGTTGTTTACTACACTGAAAAATATGCATCCTCACTCTAAGCAGGCTTGCTTCTCCACAAACCTGGCTCTTACTTGACATGGAAACCAATGCAGGTGATGTACAAGCTCCAGAAAGTTACATACTGTATCTATAAAGACGATAAGTTAGGAGATGCCTCTTTCCACAGTCTGGGAACCACTATACTGTACTACACATAAGTCTATTACATTTGCAGTTAAAAGTAGCCAGCCATATACCTTTTATATGTTGAGCTGTAACAATTATTAGTAACAGTTTAATTGTGCATTTATTTATTATGTATTATTGTATTTATTATGTATATTATGTATCTATTCAAACAATACTTTACACTACCTGCCAAAAGTTTAAACTCAACTTCTCATTCAATGTTTTTTTCTATATATTTTTTTTCTACTTTTGACATTTACATTTATTTACATTAATTTAGATACAAACAGAAGACATCTATATATGTGTAAGATATTTGGAATTATATAGCAAAGAAAAATAAAATAACTCAAGGGGTGGCTAATTTGAGATTTTATTTTTTAATAGTAGTTTTATTTAACTTTTTCTTCCTTTGCTACATTAGTCCACATATCTCACTTCATACATTTGATGTTTTCTGTATGTATATCAAATGTAGAGTTGTAAGTAGTAAATATATAGAAAAAACATTGAATGAGAGGTTGAGTTTTTGGCAGTGTACAGTAAAGGCAAAAGTTAAAATCACAATAGAAACAAATCAAACATAGATAATCATAAAATTACAGAGAGAGAGAGATATTAAATGAGAGAAAAGAGCCCAGAATGAAAATCTTTCAGTCATATGCACAGCTGAACAGAACCAGTTTGAGCCTGGATTTAAACAGAGTCAGAGTAGAAGCCTGTCTCACATGTTCAGGAACACTTTTCAGATTTTAGCTGCATAAACCTGAAACGGTGACTCCTTGTGTTTAGTCCTGACTCCAGGCACCAGCAGGAAGCTGGTCCCTGAGCTCCTCAGGTTCATATGGCACTAACATGTCACAGATGTATTTTGGTGCTAGGCCATGGAGAGAATAATACATAACTGACTTATGTATAAGTCAATTTTAAGTACATTTTAAAGTCTATTCTCTGAGCCACAGGAAGCCAATGCAGAGACCTGAGCACAGGATGCATATGCTTGTACTTCCTGGCTTGAGTCGGGACCCGAGCTGCAGCGTTCTGGATGTTCTGCAGCATGTCACACATAACAGTGTGTTACATCAGAGTCTATTTTTAAGTCTATTTTTTAAATTATTTTTAAGCCATTATCTATTATCTATGTTATTGCATGTTATCATTTTCCAGCTGTTCTTGAATTGCGCGTTGCAACATTGGAATTTCCCCACTGTGGGACTGATAAAAGCATGTCTTTTCTTATCTTATTTGGAGAGGTCAGTCAGTGGGCCGTTACAGTATCTAACCTACTGGAGACAAACGCATGGATAAGTCTTTCCAAGTCTGCTTTAGACAGTAAACCTTTGATTTTTGCTCTGTTTTTAGGTGGTAAAAGGCTGCTTATTGATTTGATGTGGCTGTTAAAGTTCAAGTCTGAGTCCATTATTACCTCTAGATTTCTTGCCTGATTTGAAGGTTTTAGAGCGAGAGACTGGAGGTGACTGCTGCCACTGTCTCTTTGTGTCTTTGGGCCAAACACTATGACTTCAGTGTTGTCTGAGTTTTGCATCCACCCACTGATCTGAGACATCGATCTGAGTGTCATATTGTTGGAATAGACACATTAATAAATAAACGCTAAATTATACTGTTATCAGTACTTGTTAGTGCACAATATAGAAAATGACATTTGGCTGGCTACTTTATAATGGAAATGTATCGTGTTTCCCAAACTGTGGAGAGAGGCATCTCCTAACTTACTGTCTTTAAAGGTTCAAAATGTAACTTTCTGGAGATGGCACATTACCTAGATTGGTTCCATGTCAAGTAAGAGTCAGGTTTGTGGAGAGACAAGCCTGCTCAGAGTAAGGATGCATGTTTATCAGTGCAATAAACAACCACAATGGAAAAAAAACAACTTTAAATTGAGTCTGTTTTTTGGAATATGATGCGAAAAACATTTGGTGGATTTGCTAGAGCAGAAACCACAAGTCGTGCACATTTGACTCGGTGTGGGCCCCTCTGCTACAAGATTTATGACTGTACACTTAACTTACGGACTGTTAATGCAACTCAGAGCTGACGAATCCTAAAGAAAACAATGGGAGCTGACACATGTGTTTTCGAATGGCTTTGGGAGACTGAGAGATATTACCTGCTGTGGGAATGAGGTAGTTGACCACTTCTATACGATCAAAGTAAATCATCACTCCTCCACTGAAACAAAAACAGGGCCAATAGCTGGTGAGACATTCATAAAAGATAAAACAGGATTATGAAAAATTATAGTTCTGCCTTCAAATGCTTCCAGAAAATGGTTGTGAAATCTGTGATGACAAATGTCAAACTGTATAATCTCAAGGCAAAGGTAAGTGTGCAGAGTTTGTAGAGTGAAGTTTGTAGACAAAGTAATATAAAGTGCTTTAAGAAATACATGGAAATCCCAATATAAGATTAAAAAAAAGATAATCATGGTAAAATTATGTTTGCCATGGAAGAGTGCAGATTCAGTCACATTTGTACAGTAGAGCAGTGCTGTCACGGTACTGAAGTTTCAAATTGGATTTCGGGGACAAGCTCAAAACTGATGATAATTTAATAATACAATTGAATGCCATTTTCAACATTAAATCATAGTAGTTTTTTTTTTTAATTGCCATATTGCCATTGTCTTATATCTGTATACTAGTCTATGTGCTCTTATAGTTGTTCTGATACAGCTCAAGACCGCTTATCAGAAGACGTTGGTAAACAGGCGGATGACGACTTCCAGTGTAGTTCCCGACACATGGCGATAAGACGCCTCTGCCAAAGCTTTTCCATGTTAATTTCATCTTGGATGTCACTTAATGGCAGCTGGTTGTAACTGTTGTTCTGCCAAACTAAACACTACAATGACATCACTTTTTAAAAATCAAGTTAGACAAATGATTAGGCAATTTATAAAAGGAAAAAAGAAAGGATACAATCACAAACCGGGTCATTTTCCCAGTTTTCCCAGATTTTGTCAGTTGCTATTGCCAACAGAGCCCAAAGGAAGTCGCATGTTTCCAACCGTCTTCTGGTTTTGTGATGTAAGCGTAAATAGAGCCCATTTTAGTATTGATACTTGCTCACATGAGTATCTAGTTTCAATTAGCATCTGATTTTCCATACTTTTGACAACCCAAGAACAGATAAAAGCCTTACACTGAAGAATATGTGATATATGAAAGTGGGTGTTATACAAATAAGTTGTTGAGTTTTGTGTAAAATAAAATCATATAAAATCAACATAAAAAGTAATCTTTTGTTGTGTGATCATGGAATTTGATAACATTTACTAACTGAAGCTGTCTGTTAGTTCTGTTGGCTTCACAGCAGCTTTGATGTGGGCATGTCGTGCCATTTCTAAACCAAGTGTTCTCAAACTATAGTGAAGTTAACCAGCAGTGTGTTCATTGTTTAGTTTCACTTTTGCTGCTTTCAACTTTAGTTAAATCTGTTGCAATCTGACACAGATTTACAAAACATGCATGCATTTTCAACCGCCAACTTTCTTTTATATATTTTATTTTTACATATTCTCTCTTTTTTTTTTTTTTTAACATACTTTTACATAGTCTCTCTCTCATTTTTTTAGCATTCTACCATGCTATATTTGCCTGAAGATGTTATAGATTATTGTCCAAGCATGTTTAAGTAATTTAACAGTCTCTCGGGCCCTATCCGAACCCTCCTTGCAACATTTTGGTCACTGCAAACCTTCAGTAGCAAGTAACATTTTCCATCATGTTCTTAGTGCAGAACTTAGTCCTCTTGTACAGAGAGCCATTCATCCTACTTCATGCTTGATTACAAGGGATCTGGGACTAGACTCAGCAAATAATTCTTCCATAATTTTTTTTAATGATCCAATCATACACCATGCATTTCTCTAATCAGGAAGTGATCTCAACTGTGTTTTAGTAAAACTAGTGGTTTAACCTGTCATAGGGACTTTAGTCATTTCGAATGTGTAGAAATCAGATATTACACAGATTTTGGTTGAGCTTGTAACAGCAGCCACTGTTCATCTGTAAAACTCAAAGTCCAACATGTGATCTCACCTCGTCCCACAAGGAACATTCTTCACCTCATCCGTCTGTAACGTGGTCTGCACACAGGGACAGCAGCAGAGTTCATTTAGCAGCACACACACAGGCACACACACATGCACACGCACAGACACCACAGACCCCCACACAAAGTCACCAACACATAGTAATAGAATGAGACAGTAGGCAGTGGGACAGAGGACTCACTTGCACAGACTTGTATGTGGTGATGAATGGGAGCATTAGATGGAAGCCCGGGCCGCTGGTGGTGGTCAGGAGCGCCCCCCCTCTGTCAGATCACATACAGGAAGTGAGTCAGTCAATGTCAAAAACTCAAGGTACAGGGTTTCAGAGAGTATCCAAGCAGTCAGTGTTAAGCTCTCAAAATCCCCAGTGGTGCGTAAAGTAGCCAAAAATTATTTCTAAGTAAGCCTAATGTTAATTCAAAGTATAAGTACAAAGTAGTGGTTCAAGATTTTACAGTAACAGTGTACTTGAGAACTACTCAAGTAAGAGTTTTTCTCAGAGTAAAAGGAAGCTGAAGTTAATTTAATTCTAAAGACAAAACTGTAGGAGTGCTGCAAGAATCATCATTTCAGGATAAAGCTTTTGTCACTTGTAGACTAGTAACCAAAAATTTTACACTGTTGCAACGTCAAATATATTACTCAAGTAGGAGTAAAACTGCAGTCTAAAAACAACTCCATGAAGTACAGTTTCTTTAAAAAGTTACTCGAGTAAATGTATCTGTGGATAAAAACACTGTGATGAAGTTACTCAAATACAAGTTGGTATGTTAAGTTTGAAATAGTCAAACGACATATGTAACTTTTCTACAATGTAGTAGTAGTAGTAGTAGCAGTAGTAGTAGTAGTAACTTTTTATTATTATTATTATTACTATTATTATTATTATTATTATATTTGTTTTAAATTGCATTATCATTACTATTTTACTTAATCTTCATCTGATCTTAGCACTCAATTTTTACTATAACCTTTAGGAGCTTTATGTTTCTGTTTTATGTTTCTATTTAAATTGTTGTAAATATGGATGAAACAATGGGGTATGGGGGGTCAGGGGGGTTGCTGTTGTTTTTAATTATTGTGTTGTGATTTTTCTGTTGCATGTGAAGCACTTTGTGTCACATTTCAAATGTATGAAAAGTGCTACACAAATAAAGTTTGATAGTAGCGGTATGACCAGTAGTAGTAGTAGTAGTAGTATGACCAGCAGTAGTAGTAGTATGACCAGTAGTAGCAGCAGTAGTAATAACAGTAGTAGTAGTAGTAGTAGCAGTAGTAGCAGTAGCCGTAATAGCAGTAGTAGTTGTAGCACTAGTAGTAGCAGTAGTAGTGGTAGCAGTATGACCAGTAGTAGTAGTATAACCAGTAGTAGTAGTAGTAGTGGTATGACCAGCAGTAGTAGTAGCGGTATGACCAGCAGTACTAGTAGCAATATGACCAGTAGTAGTAGCAGTAGTAGTAAGAGTAGTAAGAGTAGTAACAGTAGTAGTAGTAGTATCAGCGGAAGTAGCAGTAGTAGTAGCAGCAGTATGACCAGAAGTAGTAGTAGTATAACCAGTAGTAGTAGTAGTGGTATGACTAGCAGTAGTAGTAGCAACATGACCAGTAGTAGTAGCAGTAGTAGTAACAGTAGTAACAGTAGTAACAGTAGTAGTAGTAGTAACAGTAGTAAGAGTGGTAGTAGTAGTAGTAGCAGTATGACCAGTAATAGTATGAGTATGACCTGTAGTAGTAGTAGTAGTATGTTGTTAAGAGTATTACACTCCCGATGATGTAGACAAAGATAACAAGGACTGAACTGTCAGGAAGAGCTTTCACTACAGCAGACGTGGAATTTCCCGAGTAGGAAGTCCACGGAAGTTATTCATTTCCCATTTGAGTTTTAAGTCTCATTTTTAGATTCACGTTCTACTCTAATTTTTTACTGTATTGATAAAAAAATGTCTACATAGAAATTGTCTATAGATTCTAGACATTTTACAAAAACTTTGAAAATATATGATGCACAATCTGGTACAGTTGTCAAAAAAATCAATACAGGGATGTAGCAATATCCGAATTCCGAAATATCCGAAAAATTGTGATATCGTATTGTCAAAAGTCTCACAATAATATCGTGGGCTGTCACAATATATCGAATTACAAGTTCCTTTACGTAAATGCATGGTTTTATAGTAGCAACAGCTTATGAACATAGGGAACTACATATCCCATGATTCATTTCAGTGCAGACAACAAGAAGAAATATGTTTTTTACTTCAATTCTTGGGATTATGATGGAAATAATTCACACCAAAATCTTGTCAGGGTATTTTAAAAGCAGAAATGTGTCCTAGCTACAATTATATCAGCCTCTTCAAAGTATTGTAATAAATATCGTACCGTGAGATGTATATCGTGATAATATCGTGCTGAGATATTTGGATGTCATTACATAATAAAATAAATAATAATAAAAGTAATATTGAAACTAGATACTCAAAAGTTTTGATACTAAAAAACAAAAAAACAAAAAAAACAAAACGCATAAATAAGACAGAGTTAGACCTTTCCTAATTTTTTTTCTTCATTAAAGTTTCTCCTTTTCCAAAAAATAAACAAAGTCACTGTACATGTATTACAAGAATGGTCAAAATTTTAAAAAATGCTTAATAATAATAATAATAATCATAATCATAATCATAATAATAAACAAGAAAACATATATTAATAAATAAATAAATAAAAATACAATGGTTTCATCAGGTCACAATCAATTGAAATCTGATCTAAATGAGGCAAAAAACACTCCAAGTTTTCCAATAATTGTCAATTTTGTCAAAGTCAAGTGTCATAGAAAATGTCAGTTTTTCCATTACATAAATAGTATGGACTCAAGGCTAGAGACTTTATCACTAAGCCATCTTCCTAAATCAGGGGTGTCACACTAAAGTTCACATTCACAGAGGGCCAAAATTAAAAACTGGAACTAAATTGTGGGCCAAACTAAATATTTACTGAAACATCTACATGTTTTCTCTTCTTTCGAGATGTGTGACGTTAAACCTTTTCTTATTAAAATGAATGTTTAACAATAGTTTTGATTAAGCATTGAATCTAGAAGAAGCATAATATAAAATAATATATATATATTTTTAAATAAATAATATCTTTATAGCCTATCTGCAGTCGGTGGGTCAGCTCTAATACATATTTGATATGAGACCACATATAATTATATTGCGGGCCAAATTTGGACCCCGGGCCGAGTTTGTCATGTCTATCCTAAATGGGATCTGAAAATATATCGGTAATCGTCAATTCCACAAATGCTGCCATCAAATCCACACTACCAGTCTAATATTTGGAAATAAGGTATGTGGAATTATGTAGCAAAAGAAAAAGAAAAAAAAGTCTAGTAAATATATTTTTAAATATTTTATATTCAAATCCTCAAATTTGCCACCCTTTTCTTTGTTGAAAAGTTGAAAAAATTATCGAGTTATTCACATTTTTTTTCTCTACAACATAATTCCATAGATCTTGCTTCATATATCTTCCTTGTGTATTTAAAATGTAGAAAGTGATAAAAAAAAAAAACATAGACAATGAATGAGAGAGTGCATCCAAACTTTTGACTTGTAGTGTATGTTTAAACAGCTGTACAACTGAAATAACTTGTTGTTTTGAAAAAGCAAACAATTTATCATTTATCCAGTGCAAACCATGCGGTGTTTCCCCCTAGTGGTGTTCAGTTTGTCCAAAAGGCAGCTGCACTAACAGGTTGAGGAGAAGAGGGGGTTCTGCTGTTTACAGTGGGTTTTATGGTACACTGAAAGGCAATGGCTTCCAGATTTACACAATGCAAAACACCGGCCAATTCCAATTAAAAACAGATATGCATTTTCCATTGTAATAAACAATGCAGCATTCAAGTGGCTGCAATATGTTGGGGAAATCATGATTTATTAGGAGCTAAAACGTATAAAAGATTTCAGAGGGGCTTTTATAGATATCTTTATCAGTTTTGTCTTTTTCAAATTTTTGAACTTGACATCCATTTTTCACTTTAAAAGGTCCAATATTATGTGAAATTGACTCTTGTGAGCTTTAAGCCATGCCTGTTATAATGCTGTTACCTCATCAAAAACAGACCTGGAGGTGTGTTCTGTTTCATTCACATGCTTGAGTAATCCTTAATTATTAGTCTGTTAACATCTCCATAGCTCAAAATGTTCTGAAACACCTTGTCATGAGGCAATTGTTTTCAAATTAGCAGCTGCCTTCTACCTTTAGTTCAGTAAAGATGGGACTTTCCAGGACTGAATATACCCAAAGGATTCTAGTGAAGGTGTACAGATTAAAAACACAATGGAACACTTCCTATATTAGCGCAGGACATCACAGGATGGAACAGAGTGTTTTCTGGTTGAGAGAAGAAGAAGAACAACAGACCAGAAAATATTGTACCGGTAATATGGTCCCTTTAAATTAGGTCAGGGGTCTCCAACCTGTAGCTCTGGAGCTACCAGTAAGTCTCCACCCCCTTACAAGCAGCTTGCCAAGGGATTTCTGAGTTATACACATTGTGCAGAATGACTTTGATGAACTACCATTGTTAATGTATTATTTTGACGCGTACCTTTGTGCACTAAAAAAAATAAATGTTTTATAGAAATCTAACTGTTCCCCTAGCCAGGCTGGCGCCACCTAGTGCCTCCGCTCAGTTTCATTTCTCTCCAGCAACTAGGTCAGGAATCAAAATAAACTAGCAAGATTTGCAAGAACCCTGGAAGTGCGTGTTCGGGCACCAGCCAATCAGCGAAGAGCCATACATTCTGTGCTGGCAAGAATTCCTGAGATCAAGGAATTAAAGCTGGAACAAAGAGAATGTTTGGTGAATTTTATCAAGGGGAAAGACATTATTGCCCTTCTTCCTATGGGATATGGGAAAAGCTTAATATACCAGCTAGCGGCACATTACATACGTCATGACCAAACAGCACTGACTGGTTAAATAAAAAAAGTACACGCGTACTGTCGAGCGAACGAATTCTAATGCTGCGAGGTCAGACAGTTTCCACGAAGTGAAACTGGCTGATGAATCAGGCTACTGTTCCCCAGCTAAGGCTTTCCAATGCTCAATTTCCTGTGACAGCTAAAGTAACAGCTCTTCAGCATTTTCTTTTTGCAAAGGCAGCTCACCGAAAGAAAAAATGTTGGAGATCCATGAATTAGGTCTTAAACAATGTTTTTCTTCCTCCAAAATTCAAATCAACATTTT